TCCACTGCACATAAGTTTGAATTCCATGAGGACTTGGGGAATGATTTTCCATTCATTTTCATATTGAGTGAAGGTGGTGTATCTTGGCGTTTGGTACACAAGAGCCGATAATTAGGAAGACTATTTCAACCCCATTAAGGGTCTCCCAACATGATTTTGTAGGTTTGAGTCTAGTTGGGGATGATTATTTTATCACTGGACTTCAGGTTCACATACCACTGGTTGATTATGGATTCCATAATATGGAATCTATTTACGAGACCTAAGCTTTATCATTTAATCGAGCAAACTTATCTTCTTTATTTGAAAACATTGAAATCTTATTATCAGGGCACAGAAGTGCATCTCTGTCTGTAATAAAATGCATATTTATTCATTTCTGTGAGAAGAAAGTTGACAAGGTGGTTCAATCATCTTGCCAAGCATGCCCAAACTGTGAATTCCATCATCGCTGTAAGACCACTGTAGCTATTTTTATAAACTTCTGCCAACTATCTTTAAGATCGTCTTAATGGCATTTGTTTTTCAGTTTTGGATATCCAGACCAAACGTATTTGACCAGACTGAGGCAAGAACTTGCAGATAAAGGAATAACAAACTGATTTGTGTATTATACCATAACCATGTGTGTATTTATTGTATTTGTCAAAATGTACCTTTTTATTTGCTTCTGATAAAATATCTCTATCTCCTCTTTCCACTAATCATTGTAATTAAAATGTTTACATAAACCAGTGCTCTTCAACAGGGGTTCCGCGGAACCCTAGGCCAGGGGTCCGCAACTACTTTTTAGTGCGACCCCAAATTTTTTTTTCTAATTTCTCTCGACCCAAGCATTTGGTGAACATGTAATTGGTTTGAGACTATTATTGAGTTTTTTGTCGGCCGTTGATCCCCACTGATTGAAGACGCAAAGATGTTTGAAGGTGCATGCGGTGTTCTGTTCTCACTTAATTTCTTCGTTGTATCTTCCGCTCTTGGCTTTTCTTGGAGTATTCTTCAGTAACCAGTTTGTCAACATTATTTGTGACTAAAACTATGTTTAAAATTCCTAATCCTGCTAAATTTTGAATTTAATCAAGAATGCCTTACAATAACAAATGTAACAGCCGGACTATTTAATTTAATGGAAAAATCTCTTCATCTGTTGTTATCAAGCAATTCCACACGGCTACGGCTAACCTCTTATTGCTACCAAACACAATTGTTTACGTAGTAGGATAATACCAATTAACAATGCAAACAAGTACGTAATGAATGATTCCCCGACTTTCGATCCCAGCAAAATTCTTCCGCTTTATACTCTACCATTGCAAAATAATAAGATAAGTTTATTTCGACTCCATAATCGGCAAAAGGGGATAAAACGGTTGCTAAAAACAAATAAATAAAAACTGATTATGAAATCAGGAGAGTAAACAAAACCTTGGATAAGGTTTAAAACGTACAGAATATAAGATGGAAGGTATTGTTAGAAAGAAGGGGTACGTGTTCACTCACCTAAAACTACTGAATCAAATCATTCACGCTCGCACACACACAACCAAAGGGCATTAAAAAAATTAGAAAAAAGAGAGAAGCTTTAGATAAATTATATGGTAACCAAAAAATAACACATAAAAAAGAAATTAGAATAAAAGATAATAAATGACAAGAATTGTTTGCCACTCCATTTTAATAATTTTGTAAAAATTACCATACAAGAGTGAACAGTATTTAATATAAGGACAAAAAAAATTGATTTCGCCAAGCCGATTATAATTGGAGTCAAGTGCCAAATTACCCAACCAAAGTTGAGTGCGCGAAAAGGTGGGCTAAACAAACCTTTTCATTAGTTTAATGGTACTTATTTCAAGGATGGTTTTGCGAGTTGGCGCCAATAAACCGATTTACATGTTTCAAACTATCATTTTAATTCAATACATTCAACAACCTTCCATTTAAATGTGCCGGTAGAAAAGTTTGGCCTAGTCCATCACAGCTATTTCTAGATTGATTTCTGATCACTGCATTTAAAATAAAACTCCGACAGAGCAAAATGATTATCGAGTTATTTGATTATGAATTATATTTACCAAAATACCAATTAAAACTAACAAATATCACGCGAAAACCGCCAAAACGAGGTAATATTCACAACCACAAAAGACTGTCTGAATGGCAAAAGTATCTGAGCGTCTCTAAAATGTTTATTTCACGTCAATTTTGCCCTTATGCTGATTGGCCAACCAATGTTACGGCAGTAAATGAGGAAGTGTATACTCGGGGAAACATCCATAATTAAATTCAGAGATTTATCAAGTTGTTAAACAGCATAAATACGCTACACAAACGCAATACTCATATTTATGGCAAATTTAAATTGTTTTACGACCCAGAGCGGAGGGCTTAAAAAATCTTAAAAAAATATTTTTCACAAAAATGTTTGCGTGATAACCCACCTTTAAAGATAATTCCCGAGAATTACCGTTGTATTTTGCGCATCTCGCGTTTAATGTCGCTTCAAATTATATTCATTCGTGACAGATAATCCTTGAAATCAAACCAGACACTGTGTGATGGGTGAGAAAATACGTTTCCGCCGTGTTTTCCTTATGTCACCTTTCTTGCGACACTCATTTTATTACGAATTGTTATATTGAGTAATTTTAAAACTTGCAGCGTGAGCAAGCTTAGTGCCATCGTCAAATACTAACCAAGGCCGTCTAAGTTGGTATTTCGGGACCTAGCTAAAAACTGGATTGCGCGGCGTTAAGTCGGCTCTGCGTTTCGTCACTACTTACTACTGTCACATGACCGACGCTTGAAAACAGAGGTGTGATTTTTACTAAAATAAAGGCACCAAGCGATAGAAAAAGGGTTTGAGCTCGGGATCCCAACCCCAGTTGGAATACCTAAAAAAAACTCAAAAACGTTCCTCTATTACCGCCACACAGTGTCAATAGTTCATTGGTCCAATTGTTGAAGGGAAAATAATTTTTTTTAAAACAAAAATGCAGCAACAAGAAGAAAACTAGAAAGAAAAAACAACAACAATTTAAGAAAACGACTCATAGGCCCATTTCGTGTCCAATAAATAAGTTTCAATGTTTATTTTTAATAAAGAAAGTTAATATGATACTTGAAGACGAAAAATAAGCGAACATTTTGAAGTTTGAGTCGTCTGGTGAACTCGTAATACTGTATTTTATTAAACACCGATAAACTATATGAAATTCTGCTCTAAAATTTATATTCATTTTTCCTCTTTGCTTGGTGCCCTAATCACGTGCTTATATTGTTTAATGGTTAATCCGTCGCTGAGTGGGGTTCCGTGAGTTTATAGAGGACTTCCACGGGTCACGTGACTTTGTTTACTGGACGGCAAATAAACAAAAACGTCCATTTGGCTCCTTTCAGTTGTAAGTCGGGTTATACGTTTCCGTTTTGTTTGGCTGTTGAAAATGTTTATTTCGTATTGTTCTGTTGGCTGTACGTATAGTATAGACAACGAAATGGATCTTCAGTTATATTCCACTGTTTTCAAAAGATCCGGAACGTCGCGCAATGTGGATATCATCTATTGGCAGGACTGCTCGGTGTCAAGTCCAGAAGTCATCTCGCTTGTGTTTCACTGTTTGCGGACAGCACTTCGTTGATGGTGAGTGATAATGTGCCGTTATCAATTTCGTTAAATATTCATGAGCTTCCTCATTTCAATGGAAAGCAGATGACAAACTAGAAACTACTGTTATTGGTAGGCCTACTTGCAGACTTGACTTGTGTAAGGAATTAATCATCAATTGCCATAAGGCATTGTTTCCCTTGTTAGCAGGTAATCTATTAGTGAGTGTGAAAAGTTGAATAGATAACTAAAGTTCAACGCCAGTGCTCATGCAAAAAATAACCAGAATTCAATTGAATTCGACATCTAGGAATTCGCTTGCCACCGCATCTCTGATCACCCTGGTAGTTTCACAGCTTCCAATCCCATGCGGGGATAGTTATGTGCGAGAGGGTTGCAGCTCTCCTCCCACTGAGGGTGGTCCACACGACCGCTGGTCGATTACGACATCCCCCACCATCAAATCCATGCTTCTGAAAACAACATTTTTCTGTCCTGTAATATTCGTTCTACCTATGACAACTACAAGAATTCAAAATGTCTCTCTATTATACTTCATTTGTGTTTAAGGTAACTCGCAGTTTCGAAGACGTATGACAAAATAAACTCATTACCGATCTAGAATACCAGGCCAATCTGCGGACATAATAATGTGAGATCAACTGCCCGATTATACCTAATTTTGATATATTTATATCGCGCTTCGTTATCGTCGCTATAGAAAGATATGATATAAAATCCTAGAAAGTATATTTAATTTAGTACAGTGAAAATAAATATAGGGTAGGTTATATATATTACGAAATCAAAAATACATATTCATCGCCGGAAAGAGTCAGTCGTCAAGATTAAATAAATATTTTCAATTGTTGCGTCACTTTAGTCATTGTTATGCAACTAACAAGAACGCTATTGTTCCAACATGGTTACATGATGTTCAAAGTATGTAGATATTGCTCGAGACTAGGCCTATATACTACAAAATAGACTTGTTGTTCAGCTTTTGTAGGAA